TGAGACAATATTGAGACGCATATTATCTGTCAAAATATTTTAGATGAGAAGAATTTGAATTCTATTATATTATGATACTCTTAGTCATTTGTTAACTTTACTATTATGAAGTCATTATTAAAGTTCCTGGTTTATATTATTATAATATCGAATCACTATTTATGAGAACCAATTTCTTATAGATAACATATATTTAAATGCTAGCAACAAAAAAGTAGTAATTTTCAAAGATTTTTATTTCTTAATATTGGTATTCATACTTTTCTAAAAAAGTTCTGACCGTTTCTTTTCCCCATTGCATTACTATTTGTTTTTTATTTTATTCAAAAATAATATTTTATTTGTTGAAAAAATTAGAGCACATTTATACACTTTGAGTTTATTTTATTTTTTTTTTTTTTACGTGTTTGATAGTAATAATATATTTGATAAAAATGTACTTTTATATTGTTTATAAGATTAAAAAGTTTTTGGATTTTTTTTCCATTGATGATAAACTCCTAAGTAACTAATTTATTTTCATATCCACAAAAAATATATTTTTAAAACCATTATGGTGTTCTCTTTCAAGCAATAATTGCATAATAGTTTAACATACAACTCATTTATTTTTTCTTTTAATTCATATAGTTAATATTGGTAATAGATGTACGTTTACATCCAATTACACTTTTTTCTTATTATTGAATATTTCAAATCTATGTAAGAAAAATATACCACAAGTTTATCCAATATTATTTTATAAGTAATAAAATTGAATTAACATGGATCTATAAATTGGTATATATTATTTTAAATTGCTCTATGTATATATATATATATTTTATTTACAATACATTGGTCAAATCAAACATCATGAGAAAAAAATGATGTGATATATTAAATATAAAAGTGAAACAAAAAAAATATTAAGTATTTCAAAATTTAAAATTTTAATGGTAAAAATTAATTAAATTGTTAACTAAAAAGATGATGACTAACATACATATTTCTAACACAAAAAGATAAATATAGTTTTTACAAATGTGCATCTCAAGTATGTTTTAGATTTATCATTCGCTAGCTTCAATTAATATGGGACATTTACTAATTTTATTTTTTATTATTTCTTTTGGATGGAATGTGAGCTATAATCTTTCTCATTGTGTAGTTTTACCTTTTCATCATGTAGAACAATATTCTTACCTCTTGTTTAGTATTAGTCTTACCTTTTTATTACATAGAACATCATTCTTACTTCTTGTTTAGTTGTTATAATACTAATAAAATAATTAACTGCACACAATATTATATATAGTGATTTTTTTTTTTTATTTGGAGTCATACTTTTACTGCAAGAAAATGATGAAATTCTAATGAAAGCATGTTACAACGGAATTTCAACAACAACTCTAACGAATATTTCAATGTTACAATTCTCGTTTGAATTTTTCAATGAATATTTTAACAAAAATACTTTGTTAGAATTATGGGCAGATCCATGTTTATCTAATAGTCCCGACACAGGCCTCATCCCAAAACATATAGTATAAGATATCTAACAAAAATTATGGGAATATTTTTCATAATTTTAATCATGCCCTTTATTTAAAAAATAAAATTAAACGAAAGAAAGATAAATAATAAATTAATTTAAAACTCAATCAATTATAAATTAGTTCAACTCATAACTATATCAAAGATATAATATAAATGCATTATTAAAACTAAACGAAATATAATAGTTATCAAAATTTACAATTTTACGCTCTATTCTCTATTTTCTTTTTAATCTTGATGATAGCTTATATTCTCTCTTTTGCGACATAATTTTATCTAACTTTAAAAAATATTTTTATGTCTTTTTTAACTATATGTAGAATTTTAGTTATATATTCGTAATTTATACATTCATCAATTATATTGTCGAGTCAACTATACTATAACATAAAATATTCGTTCATAATTTTTTTTTAAAAATATAATATTTTTTTATTATTTTCATATGTCGAATTGAGAAAAAAATATTCTTTTCTTTTTAATATTATTGAACATATTGTTCTTGTATTAATGTGTAAAAAAAGTATTACATATGAGAAAGATGACAAATAATAAAAACTATAATTTATAAATTGTAATGGCATTATGTTATTTTGATGGTACACTTATTAATCCACAAAAATTCTATTGTAATTCAATTTAATATCTATTGGAACAACATTATTTTTCCGTTATTACATTTTCTCATATTTATTAGTAAGTATTAAAACTTAGTTATATTTTTAATATTATGTATCAGATTTAATATTTTATTACTTTATATTGTTCTTTCACATGTTAAAAAATACATAAAATTAAGTATATAACTTTTTTTGGGTCTTATTATATCCATTATAGTTGTACATCTATATAATATATTATATATATAATTATAATTTTATCATTAATATTATACTCAAATATTAAAAAAAAATATGTACATTTTTTTTTTTTTAATAAAAAGTTGTTTAGCTTATTCGGTCGTTGGTTGTATATTCGGCTGAATAGTTGTTATCTAGTCTTGTTTTGTTATTAATATAAGTCCTTTTTATCGTTATGTTTCAAAAAAAGATACGTGAGTAATGGTACTATATGAATATAATTTCTTGATAAAAATTTATTTATTTTCAGCTTATATAGACATATTATAGTTCTCTAGATATTTTGAATTAATTTTGAAGATAATGACCAATAAAAGTATATACAACTATTGTCTATCACCTAAAACTTACACCTAGAATTAATAAGAACAAAAATTAACAAACGTTTAACAACTCAGGTCATTTACATCAATAAGTACAAGTTTTAAAAGTTTGATCTTTATTTTTATTAACCATAATATTTATTTATTACTTTTTTTTTCATATTTTTTAGTAAGTGTTACAACTTAAGTGTATTTTAATATTATTTATCAAATTTAATATGTTTTTCCTTTATATTGTTATTTTATATGTTTTAATATATATATATATATATATATATATATATATATTCCTTTATGATGTTTTTTTTCTTTAATATGTTTTTCCTTTAATATGTTTTTATAGTTTGTAAGATAATGTATAAAATTATATTAAAAACAAGAATTTTTTTAAAACAACAATTCTATATCTTTTCAAAATTTTGTTGTTTAGGTTGATGTTGGGTTGATTTTTGGGAGATATGTGGAAGAAAGCCATTTCGTGATAAAGAATGGTGCGTGAATATTTTGTTTGATTTTTAGGAATGTGAAATGTATTGTTCTTGTATTTGTATTTAATAAATTAAGCATTAGTTATTAATTAAAAATATAAGATATGATGGATATTAGTGTATTACTTATTTGCCATTAAAAAACATGTTAAAGTAAAGGTTTTTTAGGTAATTCATCTTTTTAATTAAAAATATAAATAAAATATGTATTAGTTTATTACTAATTTGCCATTAAAAATATGTCAAAGTAAGGTTATTTTAGGTAGTTCATATTTTTACAAAAACACTCGTTCTTTTAAAGTAGTATAGATATAGATATAGATAGATATAGATAGATAGATATAGATATATATTAGATATAAAAGATATAGATAGATAGATAAGCTAGCCTTTTTAGCTGTAAGTAATAAGTTATAAGCTCAAATATTATAAGTATTAAAGTATATAGGGATATGAAATTAGTTAATTTATTAAGAAATAAAGAGCAAGCTTAATCGAAGTATGTCTTTTGTACACTTGTTTATAATTGGGAATTTTTTATTTTCTTTTACATTTTTGCTTTATTTTTATTTGTTTAACAACCTCATACACACGCCCAGCCATTTATTGCATATTGGAACATTTGCTATCCCTAAAACTTGTTTGTGTTGCATTGATGATATAGAGCCATATATAGACAGTAAAATGGTTATCTTATACCTACATGGAAGTTTGTATTTAGATTAACCAAATCAACTTCATTTCCTAAAATTATGCATTTGATTTTGAATCCACGATTTAATTAGAAAGCCAACATTTGACTTTAAAAAAACATTCATTTTTTGCAAAATTGCATTTTTAGTTTTTTTTTTGGTACAATGAACCTTCCGGTTTCCGAATCCCTTAGGGGACCGACTAATCCGGAATCGAGCCGGGTAGGACCACAAGGGCGGCAAAGCTCTACCTCAAGACAATTATGACCCGATTTGCATATATGTATGTTTTAATGGCAAAGACAATTTTCTGAAAGCAACTTCTAAAGTTTATTCAAGTATGAATTAATGATGGCGTAATTAATTTGAATAAGGCCACAATAATACATTTCTGCTCAACTTTGATATATATATACATATTAATCTCCATGTCAACGTTAAGGGTGTCAAAATCATAATGAAGCAAAGTTTACTCGGATTAATTATTGACTAAATTGTATAAAAAAAGAAGCCAAAAAAGGCAACTTTTTTCATGAAATCGCCCTCCAACTGGAGAACATTGCAAAATGGTGATTGAATTAGAGAGAAAAAATAAAATTGAAAATATTGATTGATGATGATAATACTAATAATAATAGTTGTAGCTTTAGTAGTAAATAATAATGTAGGAAAGGCATACACTATGATTTGCCTCAAGATATACCAGAAAAGCTTTCAACTTGCCTATATATAATCAAGAATTTCATCATCATCTCTCTCTCACTCTCTGAATAGCTATATATATGTAGAGTTAACTCGGTGTGTATGTCATGAAAAATGTCCGAAAGCCTCAACATTTCTCGCTCGGTTTATCCGAACACGAGGACTTTACCATTTGGAAGGCATTACTAAGGTCAGCCATTAGTTATATATCTCTTTCTTTCTTTCTTTCTTTCATTCATTGTGATTCTAACGATCGATTGTTACTCTCATTTTACGGTTTTAATAATGTATACGCAACAATAATACATATGTAGCTATTTCTATAGTAGTGATCATACATTCATACTTATATATTTTCCTCTGTCTCTTTGTGAAAATGAAACAGTCACGTGCAAAATGAGCGATTCTCAACAAGTCGAGCTTTGTAGCATTGTTGGTGAGGAGATCAAAATCGACGAGCACGTAAATAGAGAAGTTGAGACGAGTAACATATCAAGTGTCGATGGTAATAATAGCAATAGTGTTACTGATCGACTTTTCTTTCCACGAGTGCCTTGGACTGAGGTATTGTGTTTTGAACCAGCTTACGATTTTATTTTTTTTTCTTATGTCGTATGCTTTTCGAGTTTGTGAATTGCCCGGCGCAAGAATCATCGTTTTCTTTCTCGTACATTTTTTCTTTACTCGGTTTCTCATGAAGTGCGTGAGCGCTGATAGTTTCAAAAGTTATATTTAGTATTTCCTATGACAAATTATATGGATTTATTTTCATCTTTTTGACAATATGCATTGAAAGACACTATTTAATTAGGGTTCTCATGACTTGGAGTAACATGTTGCATTTTCAATTTTTCACCCTTCATCAAAAATTGAACTTTAATTTTGAGTTTTCTGTATTCTAATTGGAGTCATGATTTGATGGTTTACCTATTCAAAAATTAAAAAAGAAGAAGGGAAAATGACATCACCGATCATTACAACGAAACGTGATGCGTACAAAAGTATAAACGATCTCAATTTTCAAAGATATTACTAACATTTTATCTAGTTTTATGTATTCTCGATTTATCTTCTAGGACAGTCTAGTCCGTTCTCTGCGCACAATTTTGGTGTAACAACTATATATTATTTCAAGCATCCCTCTCTCTTTAATATCCCCAAACAAATCTTTTTAATTTGTGCCTTTTTTGGTTCAATTATGTGAAGGTTTAGGTAATAATTGATCCAACACAAGTTTCATAAATTTATTAAGGTCTTTGGTACGGTTGTTTGTAGGTAGGCATGCAGCCACGTACACACGACACACACTCCTTTATTCCTCGTATCTGTAAATTTTCAAATAGGACACAAAGTTATGGGTCTAATAATTATGCGCATACTCATAATTTAGGATTTAAGCAAGAAACTAATGTTATTGGCGGTTTACACCCAAAAAAATCTGGTCCCCTTAAAGTTAATACAGATTTTTGTTTTTAAATAAATCTCACACGTGAACAGTTCAAGCCGGGCCATGTGTGCTTGTACCCTGCAAACCAGATACTAAAACGAAGTTATGCACATAGACTTTTAGTAGAAAATATAACATCTTTGTTAATTAGTTACAATTGTTCTTCCTTAGGAGCTGCTTCTGAGAACTTGTTAAAACTCGAGTTTGTTTAGTTAATGAGTCGAATTCGAAATAGGAATTTTTATGTAATTTTCTATAGCTCGAGTGTTTAAGGCTCGAGTTCAGCTCGTTAATATTGATAAGATTTGAGCTTGTTTATTGACTCGTTTAGTTAGCAAACCGAGGATAAATGGTTGAATTTGAGGTCGAGTATCAAGAGCTACGATCCTATACACCCAAAGCATCACATCATTAGACAAAGACCTATGAGATTAAAATATATTTTTGTTCATTTCAACTGCATTTGCAATAAATTTGCAGTGTCAACTTGGACAGGTCCTTGATGAGGTATTGAGACAAGGCCAAATCACGTGCCCCGTGGCACTAACCACAATGCTTTACTTCTCCAAGACCATAATCTCCATGCTTTTCCTGGGCCACATGGACAAACCCGAACTCGCCGGCGGTTCCCTCGCCGTCGGTTTCGCCAACATCACCGGATTTTCCGTCATGAAGGGTCTCTGCTCCGGCATGGACCCAATCTGCTGCCAGGCCTTCGGGGCCCGCCGTTGGCCCGTTCTCACCCAAACCTACCTCAAAACCGTCATTCTCCTCCTCTTCGCCACCGTCCCTGTTTCCCTACTCTGGCTCAACGTCGACCCTGTTTTCCACCGACTCGGCCAAGATCCGGCAATCACCAAAATCGCCCAAAATTACCTTGTTTTCTCCTTGCCGGAGCTTCTCTCGCATTCGAATTTGATCCCTTTACGAACTTTCCTCAGAACCCAAGGACTCAACAAGCCCAACACCATTGTTGCCGCCTGCGTTTCCTCTCTGCATCTTCCGATCACGTATTTTCTCGTCAACTACATGAATTTGCGGGTTAATGGGATTGCTCTGGCTTCGGTTGTTTACTCGGTCAACATGAATATCGGGCTTTTCGTGTATTTGTTCTTCTCCAAGTCTGCTATAAAGCCGTGGGGGGGAGGCGGCGGTGGCGGGTCGATTTTCCGGGGGTGGGGCCCGCTGCTCGGACTTGCACTCCCGAGCGTGGTTCAGTCCTGCCTCGAGTGGTGGTGGTACGAGATTGTTCTGTTTCTGAGCGGTTTGCTGGACGACCCGGATTCCTGCGTGGCGGCGATGGGGATACTGATACAGACGACGGGGACGGTTTATGTGTTCCCTTTTGCGGTGGGGTTGAGTGTTTCGCAGCGGGTCGGGTACGAATTGGGGGCGGGTCGGCCGGGGAGGGC